CCGGCTGTTTTGTACGTTAGTGAAAGACGTAGACGAGGCTTTTGTGCAATACACGCTCAGTTTGTAGAGACTCGGGTTTTGGAAAGCTCCATAACTAAGGGGGGGTGGCATCCTTCGATGTTAACATCAAGCGATCCTGATGTAAGCCATGTTTGGGGACCTCCGAAAATGGACTGGCCAATTTCCAGGTACCCCCAGCCTAAAAGGGTGGTGATGACCCGGTCTGCAGGATAGCCAAAGCCTCGGTTCCCTTTAGAGTTAAGGGTTTATTGTTTACTGTAGTGTATGTTCAAAAGCACTTCCTCCAAAATCAGCTTTACTTCAGAAACCTCCACCACCGCGCCAGGATGCCAGCATGAAGGGCGCGGAGGACCCGCTTCGGCAAAGTGCGACACACAGGCTCCAGTGTTCAGGGGCCGGGCCCTACGCGAAGCACTTAAAGCAGTTTATGGTTTTGTTTTGTTTCGTTTTGTTGTGGAAGGGGCAAGGTTCACGGGTTCCGTTGGAGACAGAGAGGTCAGCTAAATCCTCAGGTCGCGGGAGTTTCCCACAACCTTAAAACACCCCTGAACCCTAAACCCCTACTTGGAGGATCGTGGTGACAAAAAAGTAAGGGTATATGTACCTTAATGAGGGTGAAAAGTAGTTGTAAGTATAGTTACCCTAAGTATGACCTTACCAAGTCCCATGATCCTCTAAGTACACCCCAGAAGCCTAAATCCGAGGCGCTAAACCCTGAACCCTAGCACACGAAGTGTCCCTGAGATTCGGTTCCCAGGAGGATGCCGTCCACTTCCAGCCCTTCGCCTTCATCGTGGATCCTGCGTCCCGTCTGTGCTGTGGGAGGCTTTCAGATTCTGAAATTACTAATTAGGATTTACGCCCGCAGCCCTTCAACCCTTGACACTGTTTAGGGTTTGGGTTCAAGTAAGGCATACAACTATTGTCTACTTCGGAGCATGGAACTCCATAATCGTAGCTACTTTGGACCCTTTGGGGCCTCACGGGCTGAGGGTTTTTGAACATTATAAAGCCTGCACATCCAGCTTTTGACATCCGGCTTCGGACTAAGCTTCAGAAGAGACGTCATCCTGGCTTGAGGCTGGTTTCGCCATAGGGAAAGGTCCTAGGGTGAGCACGCAATCCTGAGCACAAACTCCAGCTCCAGCTTACAGCAGAACATATTGAAGAAGTTTTTTCGACTGCAGACTGTCATTTCCTACGAGAATGAGTTGTCATTATTTTTCAGATACCGGTCGATACTCACTGATGATGTAGCCACACCATGCTCTACCCCACACCCTACTCTGATTCAAAAAGCTGTCCGCTCTGAGATCAACGTGCTCCAGACGGCAGTGCACCTGGCGCAAGCACGGGCCGATGATCAGGCCGTTGTGTCCATCTCCAAGGACGGCGTTTCTAGGGCATATATAGGGTTCAGGACGGACTTCGTTCATGAAGGTTTTTTCTGCAGGTTCTAGAAGGCATTGGGGTCGCCTGTTTAGGATTTAAACCTTCAAGAAGGTCGAGACACAAAGGCTTTCGTATAGTCGCTAATGCTTGGGTGATGGCAGTCGGAGGACAATCTTCGCATGAACCACTACGTCGACCTGGGCAGCAACAGGCACTATAGAGCCGGGTTTTTTACGTGAATTCCCATACCCTTCAAAACATTTGGTACTGTAGGTCAGTGATAGTTTCGCTCAGGATTTGGGGACGTCTCAGCCCTGCTGCAGCAAACTCTTTCTTGCAAACGGGTCCTTGTGCGGACATGTATCCACTCCGCACAGACATCTTCCATTGTCCATACGCGGCAAGATGATCCTCGAACCTTGGGTGTTATCGCTTCCTTAAGGGCATGTTCGCCTGCCCTGCCGAGTGCGAGTGACAAGCATACTGTCTGAACCGTATCTGCTTGTACTGAATGGGAAAGTTCTGGCTCTGTGCATCGATCCTGTCTGACCTGAAGCTGGCCTTCACTAGCTGAGCTGGATGCGCAGTACCATTCCACCAAGCCAGCAAAGCGAAGCTGCACTGATCACCGTAGACCGGTGATTCATCACGCCTGGTAATATCAATACTTCTACGATTGATTCAATGATTCCGGTCCCTGAGTCAAAGATTCACCAGGTGTCGTAAAAAAGTCGGAAGCAGTCTTCAGCGCAAGGGTCGTACCTCACGTCGCTATCCGAGGTAGGTAGACACTCCCACGAGATGGACACTCCAGTCCATAAGAAGGGATCAAAGTCGCACGGTTCACCCCAAAATGCCAGAAGCATGCACTAGGGACCCAGTATCCGCCTCGATCAGCAGAAGCTTACCCTTAACCCGAACGGCGCTTGCAACAGGTCTCGCTGTCAGGAGGAGTTAGGTGGCTGTGAGGTGCAAGATACCTCGCTCCTCTGGGCCGAGGACATGGGTTTGCTTTGCTGGGCTTACCCGGAGGCTCCATAGTAGTTCCTTTTTGGGGTTCATATTTAGAGTTCTATAAGGTAATCCCAAAAAGGAACTACTATGGAGCCTATGGCTTAGTTCCCCAAACCCTAAACCCATCGCTGTCCGAGTGTGAGCGCCGAAACCCATAGCTGAAACACGGTTCTGTACTATGTGAAGACTAGTTGTGGGTTCTCCTAGATCCTAAACCCTAACTCGGCCTCATCATCATCCCTGAGGAAATGGTACTCTACTTGCGGGGATGAGCTACCACAAGGACTCCTTCTTCGCCGTTCGCATGATGCCACGTGTCTCGCATGGGTTTGATGGGTTTGTGATTTATGGCTTGAACCTCCCCAAGCCGACTTTCCAAGACCGGATGCAAAAAAAGGAGGTTGAGCCCGAAGGCATGCGCACTGCAGCCTTGCCTCAAAAAAAGGCTTTAGGGCTTTCAGGTCTCGGATCTCCGGGCTTAGGGTTCACGATTCTAGGGCTTCGGCTGTAGGCTTCGCATGGCTTCGGCTCTTTCGGCTTCGTGCCCCAACTGACGAGGATCCCTTCAACCCACCCCTCCCCTTGTGGTTTTGCAATGGGGCCTCGAGCCCGAAACCCTAAACCCCTCCGAGTGTGAGCGCCGAAACCCTGAAGTTGCGACTGCGCATTGAGAGACCTCATCTGGCAAGTCCGACTTGTTCTCTAAATTTGGGTCCTCTGAGTTGCCTTTTATAAGGATGCCGTACTATCTGTGGGACCGAAAAAGCGAGCCTTATTCAGAGAACTGCCCAAATCCGAGCTGTGGGAGCGTAAACCCTTAAGGTGGGACGCCGAGAATGGTGATGGCTCCTCTTGCGAGACGTTTCGGGGAGCAGTCGGCCAAGGCAATCTCGTTCGGACTTTAGGGATGTTGGGTGATTTTTTAGAGTTTAGGGTATAGGCTACGGACTTTTCGGGGATTTAGGGTCACTTTAGGGTCTATAGCTAAGAGCTCCAGGTCGCAATTTGGGGGTCTGTTTTAAGTTTTGACTTTGCCGTTCGAGAGGTTCGGAGCTTCAGTTTGCGGGGCCTATGCGGCCATCCACTCTCATGTTCGTGGCAACTTACTGTTTGGACTGCTTGGACCTTGCAGCCCATAGTCTAGTGCTTTTTTGGAGACTTGGATGGAGCCTGAATGTTAAGTCGAGAAGTATTCTGATTCTGTAACCATATGATGACAGAAACGCCTGGGCTCTTGCGAATTCATCCGCCTTTGGATGAGGTGCATTTGGCTGCCGTGAGCACCTTCAGAAGAACGTAGACGGCTACATGGGCGGCAAGGCCACGTACCCCGATTTCCTGAAAGACTTGAGTCCGACGGCGGTGAATGCTGCAGCGATCTACCCGACGCCTGAGAAAGCTGGTTCAATAGAGGACTGGGTACTCGCTCATCGGTTTCCTGCACGTAGAAGCGCAGAAAAGAAGTACTTAGCAGCTTGCTGCACCTGGTGTAGCTTGAACTGCTGTTGCCCAAAGTCAAAGAGTAGAGGGCGAGCCGTCCAGGGGTATTAGCTGACCTGCCCAGTGCAGCTTTTCTCCAAAGTTGACGACATCTCCACGATAGCGAATTAGCTTATGTTACCATATCGCATGTGGTTGGTCATGTTCCGTCCTACACGCTCGCGAAATGGCAGAGAGGCTTGTTCAATGAGCAAAGGTCGCTGAGGGCAGTCATCATGCCATGTCATAGGACGCTGCCTGTGACTTCGGGTGGAACCGGCTATCTCTACAACACCCTAACCACCCTCAATGGGAGTTTTCGGCTTGTGCGATCACACCAGTAGGAGTTTCGAAGGGTTTTGAACAAAGCCTGCAGGCTACGCATTTCTGCTTTTCGGGAACTGCATAAGATTGTTGGTAGATGATTTCGGTAGGAATCAGGGCTCACGAGAGGAGCCGAACAAACTGAGTTGGGTTCGAAACGATCGTGCTAGAAGGGCAAACCCCACCACGTCGGAGCTTGAAAACTCTGCATGCACCTACCTACCCTGCGGATCCATGTGCTTCTATCGCATATGCCAGGGACCAAACTGAGCAATCTATCTATCTATCTATCTATCTATCCATATGTATATATATATATATATGCAGTCTGAGAGCTATGACTCAAGGCTATGACGAACGTTGGAGGGGGCGTCTCAATGATTACCAGCACAATTCCTTGGGGTCTCCCATGTCGATCCACATTTGTATATACATACATATGTATATATATATATATATATATATATATATATGGATAGTAGCACCTGCATTTCTATTGCTGTAGTTATGCTATGGTATATGCGGCCCAAACCCTGTTTCAAACATACAGGCCCCCATAGCATAGAGTGTGTATTCAACACGTCAAGCGTGCGGCACCCGACATGGGTGGTTGTCAAAATGAGGGGCCCTTTTTGGGTGCCGTAAATTTTAGGTGCCGTATTAGAATAAGGACCCAAAAAGGGACCTTATTTTTGACAACCACCCATATAGTGTGCAGAGATGGCTTGTACTGCTCAGTGGAACTCTAAGCTGAGACCACAACTTCTGAGGTCCTGCTGAAGACGGATCGGGCAGGCTAGTGGGCGCCATGATGAATATATAGGGCCTATATCTGAGGTTATGATGAATATAGGGCGTATGTACGGGGTTCTGGGGTTCAGGTTTAGTGTCCGGTTCAAGTCTGGAGGCGCACGGCGCACGTTCCTTGCAATGTTCGCAGAGTGCTTGCTAAGCCCACATCATGTGTGCTCCATCCGTAATGTTGTAATGCTGTAGTCAGAATAATTTGGTCTGCAGGCCCAACCAGCTAACAGCACTCACTAGCAGAGGGGGACTTGAGTCCGAAGATTAGAGTCGAAGGTTCGGGGTTCATAGTGACAGTGGGTTCAAGGTCCCGACCCCGCTTTCAGGCCTTTTCGGGCTCAGTGTCAAGGTTTCCGATCTATTGGTTCAGCTTCCGCTTCGGGCACAATACATGCATGCAGTATTTGCTGTCCCTGCTGTACTGCTTCGGGCTATACCGACCACGATGGCACTGTTGTTAAGGTAGCTGCTTCGTCGTGCATCTAGCCCTGATCACGGCAAGGGTATTTACTGCGTCACCTATGATCCCTGATAGACATGCGATGCACTGTTCTGAGTATCGGAAAAGTCACATTGGGAGCCAGGCAGCCAAAGCCCAATCGACAACTGCGGTGCCGACGGGAGGCTCGCCCTTGCAATTCCTGGGGTTCTGGTGTAAAAGTATCGCGAAGTAGCCATGCTAATTCTCTGTAGTGGTTTCCATTGTTTCGGAGTTTCAACCCGAAGCCTTAAACCGCTAAAACCCTAAACCCTGAAGTCCTAAATCTCGAGTTGCGAGAGCGTAAAGTCCTAAATCCCTAAACCTCAACTCAAACCCACAAACAAGACACTGTTTATAGATCCTTTGAAGGGGCCCTCAAAACCCCCAGACAAGCCGTCAGGTCCATTCCCTGGAGCTGCGAAGACTTGAGTAATCGAGCAGGAGATGCTCGTGCGATGGTTCCTTGGCCCAGGGGTTGGTTTAGGGTTTCGAATTTGGGGCTTCTTGGGGCTTAGAATTTATAGGGCTTATGGGGTTTAGGGTTTAAGCGCTTAGAAGTTGGGGCTCATAGGGTTTAGGCTTTGGGGCTTAGGCTTAGGGTTCAAGGTTCATAGGGTCCAGGACCTCGGGTTTGCGATTTCGGTGCGTTTGGCGAGGTCTTCAGCTTCGTGACTTGAGCCTAACTTTGGAGCTTGCTGGCCATGCGGTAGGGGACGAAGTTTCGGGTGGAGAAGGGGCCAAGTTTCAGGTGCCGTTTTACGGGAGCCCTCAAAAGAACCCAAATCTCGGAAGCCGAGGTAAGTGCAATTCCATACGGCTCTGACTTCGGCTTGGACGCCTCTTTGGAGACCTGGGATGATGTTTTACATGTGGGTGGTTATCAAAATTAGGCTCCCTTCTTGGGTCCTTATTATAATACGGCATCTATTATTTAGGGTACCCAAAAAGGGGACCCTAACTTTTGACAACCACCCATGTGTGTTGACGGCAGGGGAGGAGTTGGGGTTTAGCTAGGTTGGCCCTTTAAAGGTTTTGAAAAATCTTCGTAAATAGGGTCCTATTAAGCCCAATAAGGGAAAATATAAAATGTCCCAAAGGCCTACCTAGTTTGAGGATTAGGGTTGTTGGAGGTGTCCCTTTCGCGTGCTGCGTCTTTGATTTTCACCGCTTTCTCAAGAGGGTTTCTGAAGCTGGCGAGGCCTGGGAGTCTTATTGTTTATGAGCTTGTGTGAGGACCTGTTAGGATCCATTTGACGTGTTAGAAGGGTTTGCAGGCTTCGGCAAGAAAATGTATGGCTTCGGGTCGTATGCCGGATTCGGGCCTTAGGGTTTGGCATTGACGGCTTTGAGGGTGTGGAGCGTAGAGGGTGGAACTGTCGAGTGCAGGAATGCGGTTTGGAGTTCGGCGAGTTTGGGATTTCGGAAGGGTCCTGACACAGCCAGCCAGCTATTGCACAGTCCTGCCCTTGGTCACAGTTTCTTTGGGCGGTCTGGTGTCACGCACTCCCTCCCCCTACTAGTGTAACTAGCACCAGCAGGACCAGAGCCACTTCCCAGGAGACTCCCTTGACACTCCGGCAATTCCTCGCGGCTCCTTCTGTCCCGGCTGCGCCTGCGGTGAAGCGTCAGCGCCGAGATGGGGCACAGGCTCCTTTCTCTTTGTTGTTCCCTTTCCTTGTTGGGGAAAGAGAGCTCGGGGAAACCGCGAAAACGAGGGGATCTGCAAACGCTGAACCTGAAATGAGAGATGGAACCAGACTCAGAGGTCTGCGTGCTCGCATAGCTTCTCAGGCCCAGGCTTGCTGGCGCAGCCGCACGAGTTGTTTTACAGAGTTTTCAATTTCCGGTCTTCCTGGATTTAAGATGATATACCGACTTCCCAAGGTTGCAGAGCTCGGTGTTTGCCGAACAAGCTGATTCATGTGCAGTTGAAGCCCCAGGGGCCAGACCCCGACCAAAATTGCGTCGGGGATGAAAGGGTTTACCTTGTATATATTGCACCGTGAGTCGGGATTGATGTAGTTTCGGTTCATCACAATTGGAATCGAACAGATCGGCAGCGTTTGTCTACATCCTCGGCCTCATCTTTCAATCCCTGACAACCTATGATACACTCCGTACAGACTCCACCTGACAGCCCGTCACCTCAACGGTGCGCAAATTATTTCCCGTGCGGCCTCACCGAAAGGTTGTCAATGCCGCTCCTCCGTACTTCTTCGTGGCGGTGGACCAGGATTCGACAATTCGAGTCTTTTCAGGTTGTCAGCTAATCGCTCGTAGAAGCAGTCGTTCTACATCCGACTGGATCTGAGAGACTTTACTGCGCGTGGGAAACCTAGCAGCATCCATGACCCCATCATCAACGGTGCGCACCAACATACTTGTGCCAGAAAAGGCATCATCCTGTAATGCTTCCTGAGGTTTAAGCCTAGTCGCCCCTACATGCCCCTACCACGGAATCCAAATTTGGCTCTCAACCTTAAGCCGGTTCCTGCGAGGCTCCAAGGCATATGACGGGAAGACTTGAGAAGCAAGCCCCTACGTGGCAAAACATAAGGGTATGTTCAAGGGCCCTCGTCCCAAAACCGAGAAAGCATCAACACCCTCAATCCCGTACCATCCTTGCCTGGCTTCTCCGAATGTGAATGGCAAAAAAAATCAGAAACCCGGTAATTTCCTACCTGGCCACCCGAAGGGGATCAAGGTCCTGGCTTAGGGTTTCGGGTCTGGAAAGCAGGGCAACAAATATGATTGTGGATTATGTGTTTTGGCTTTTGGCTTAGGATGTGTCACCCTTGGGCCATGTTCCAAACTTTTTCTGTTCGTCGTGGAACTCCAGAGCTTGGTTTTACATGCGTTTCGGCACTCGTATCTGGGTTCCTCAGCCAAGCGTAGCTGATGATGACTGATATCCCGGAAACTAAAGCACGGAAGCCTTACTCGCAAAGTATGTCGAAAAATGGCTCCATACCGCGATGCAGGTCTGACACCTTTAAAGAAAGGCTACAAAGGGGTTGTGTTTTTTGTGCTCAAGGCATCTGATCAACCCTACATTTAGTTTACCTTGCCTTACCAAGGACCCAAGCCATAATCAACAAATTAGAGCCTCGAATCCCTTCACCTTCGAGTCCCGCATAGCCCTAGACCCTCCCTAAACCCAAAACCCTGAAATTTGTTCTATAAGCCCGACACCCAAAAAACTCTACTTCTCCAAAAACACCGTAAATCCTAAACCCCAAACCCCAAAAAGGTAGGAGGGAGAAAAACTCCAAAACCGGACCCCTCTAGCCTCCAGTGTGTAAAGCCTCACAAGACTAAGTAGAAGTCCTAAACCTCAGGCGCGAAAGAGCGAAGATGTAGCCCCAAACGCAGCCTAAAGCTAGGTAGGCCTAGGTTCCCATTGACATCTTACGGTTAATGAGTGCCTTTTCCCCAAGGGTCATTGAACAGCCTTAGAACAGGAGGCTACTATTCCTGAGGGCTCCGTATCGTGACTGTCACTATACTATAGTCTACCCGTCTACCCAAGCCCCTATAGTGACTGTTACATCCCGCTACGACCCCCTTTTAGGGATCCGTTTAAGGAGCCCTCTTCTACTTATTAAGGCCCCTATGTGGGAGTTTCCGAATATAGGGGACCCTAAGATAGCACCCTAAATAGTAGGATCCTCATTATGAGAACCCCCAAGATAAGGTACCACCAATTTTCGGAAACTCTAAACCCTGAGACTATCCCTTTAAAGAAGCCCTTATAGTGCCCTTATAGTATCCCTTTAAAGGAACCCTAAGGTACCCCTATAAGTTTCTTAGTAAGGCCCCAATGTTCACGGAAGAGTCCCAGGAGCTTCAGCCGGAGCTTGCCGAGGCGTTGGAAACCTCTTTGGGCCTATCGGCTGCTTTGCTCTGCTCTGCGGTTCAGGGTGTCAGGTTTAGGGGATTAGGGTTTAGAAGCGAATGTGGGGGTTACCGGGCGGTGGTAAAGGCCCGATGCAAAAAAAGGGCCCAGTAGTTAGAGTAAGCAAATAGAACTTTTTTGGGGTAGTATAATCCCTTTGTAAACCCTGTATAGCCAAAAAGGTTAACCTTTAGTTCCCCATGATACCCGACAAGTAGGAGGGTTTAGTGGCTTAGGGTTAAGGGGATTAGATGCTTTGGGGTGGCAGGTTTAGTGGCTTCGTGAGACTTGCTGGCTTTGATCTTTTAGGGCTACCCGGCAGTTCGACGAGGCCTGGATGCAAAAAGGTTTACTGTCTTATGGTTATAAGGTGTTACGGTGTGCTCACACAAGAAGCCAATCCTGAGACCCAAAGCCCCCAAAGCGAAGACCCTCAGCATCCTGAAGCCATGCCAGCAGTGAGCGAGTTTGTTCGAAAAAAACCGATATGGGAGTTTCCGAAGATTAGGGGTACCTTATTCTAGGGTCCTTATAATAAGGATCCTACTATTTAGGGTACTATATTAGGGTCCCTTATTTTCGGAAACTCTCACACCCAAGGCCGGTTCCCAGCTTCCTTGGCCTCTCGGCGCCGTCGCTTCCCTGAAAACAAAGTGGCGTTCGACTCGACTGGGGATGCGGGGACTTGCTAACTCTTTCATGATGGGGACGGTCATAACTGTCATAACCGACCAGTTTTTGCGTCATGCCGTCGTACCTTTCTTCATGTGCAAGGACCTACTATAAGGGCCAAGCTATAGTACTCTATATTTGAAGGGCCGCTTGCATTATTGTCAGCCTGGTTCTTCCTGTGGGTTTGCAACTATACAATATCTTCTGCAGGACTTGCGGCGAACATGGGGCCTGTGTTTCACAGGGACCTTTGTGTAACATCGCTTATGGCTTATGGTGCTTCTTGGTTGAGGCAGCTTGCCTTTAACATCGGGAGGTTTCTTACACCTTACACCATTTGAGTTTCGGCTCGAGGTGACGAAATAGAAAGGTTCAGGGTTCCGGGACATAGAAGCTTCCCACCGGGGAAGTTCCCTCCGCCTTCCAGCCGTAAATCGTTAAAGCTGCGTCCGCAAAGCGTGAAGCATCGTTTGAACATGGCAGCCCGGCGTGCATGCTTGTATGCGGTATATACATCCCACAAGCTCTGCTTGTTACAAGTATCTCAACCCTCAAACCCTTGAGCCTTATAAACCCTCAAACCTTCGAACCCTAAACCCCTAAACCCTGAGTCTAGTGCCACGCCGACCTCGCAACGAGAACCTCGCCTGGCTTGCCCCAGTTGTGAGAGCGTAAACCCCTAAACCCTCAAAGCCCCGAACCCTAAATTTAAATCGCCAAGCCTAGAGAATCCTTATATAAAGGAGCCCTTAAAGGAACCCGAAAAGGGAACCCGACACCGAGCCCTCAGGTCCAGACAGGGCAGAAGCTGCCCTTCAGGGCCACGACTCTTCAATTCGCCGTTGGAGCTGAGGGGAGCGGCTCACCTATGCACTTCCACCAAGCGACTGGGATCCCAAAAGATGGCGTTCAAGGTCTACTTGTTTCATGCGTAATCATGGGTAGTTATAACTGGGGCTGTAATTAGGTAGGTAGGGTAACTCGCGTCATAACCCACATGAACCTCCATGTATGGTTCAGCATTGAGCGTTTAGGGTTGGTTACAGTCTACGTGGTAGTGAGAGACGCCACCATCACATTGTTCGCTAGCTTTAGCAGCACAACCGTTTGTCCTCGACATGTTTAACCTCTTCACACGACCACTACACTGCCACGACTACCATGACCAGCAGCACCACCGTGGACCAGCAACAAAGCCTCTCCGCTTTATGCAGAGCTTTAGGATGTTTGCAGATGTTTCGGCACATCGGATGAGTGTCGGGGCGTCCAGGGGTTCCGGATCTGAGTTGGGTGTTCTCGTTCCAAAACTCCCATGTCGCTAGCCTCCTAAACATTGAACAATTTTCTACCTAACTTTAAAAAGTTGACAGCTTACACTCCAAACCTTCAGTCCTATCTCCCTCACTCAAAGAATTGTGGCTGCTGGCAATCCTTCAGGGTTTCGGGTTTAGAGAGCTCTCCTTCCATATTGTCGCGGACCCGTAAACCCTCCACGAGGACGCGCTGAACTTGTGCCTGCACGGCCGCAAGCGATGGTGGCTGGTTCCCCCGAGCGAAGCAGCCTTCTCGAGGTGTCATCCGTTGGATGCCTTGGAAATGGGAATCTGGGACCTGAGTAGTAAACGAAAATATGGAATGATTTGTGCTGAGCATGAGGGGCGTTTTTTGGCGGGCTAGTTACATTCTTCGAAGTGATTATTGTCAGGAGCTTTCTTCCTTATGTCCGTCGCTTCCGTGCCATAACACGCACACCATGTGTATTCAGTTGCTTGTTGCATGTGCTGATGTCTCAATTGATGTCCTGTTCTCTTGTGGCTCCAGCATTTGTTCCCCTGCTGTCGAGTTTGTAGCAGAACTAAGGAATGTCGGCCAAAGACGTCAAAGACTGCTTCGAGGCTGGGTGGAAAAGATGCTTTGCAAAATTGCCCCTGTAACAACACCTGTGGTGTGCAAAACCTAATGCTTTCAGCACTATTCCTCTGCTTTTGCCTCGAGGGTGCCTGTGTCTTCGAGCAAGAGGAGGGCGACATTGTCTACGTCCCAGACATGTGGGGCCATGCGGTCATGAACCTGGAGGACCATACCGTCTGCGTGGCAGCAGAATTCGCTTAAGACATGGAAGAAGTGAAGTCCGGAACAAGCATCTGCAGCCCAAGATCACCTGGCTGCACATATACAACTGGGGGAGGTTCCATGGACATCCTTCGAGTTGGTGGGTGTGTGGCGACGACAGGCAGAAAGTTGAGCTCCAAAACCTGCAGCTCTTCCGGCTGGAATTGTGACATCTCTGCCTCTTTTCAGCGCACTTGTTTGTCAGATGGTGCGGCAGATAGTCAAGGATTCCGCCAACATCTGGCTGTAAATCCAAACTGCGGCAGTTTCAGCCAATGAGCATGGCGAAGATCTTGGATGTGAGCATTGTCAGCGAGCAAATCCAGCTCCTACAGTAGCGCTCAGTGCAGACACGGGCTTGCTTGCACACTCGGTGTGGGGGAACTAGCGTTCCCAACAAGTTGGCAGAATTATCATATCCCGCGTGGTGCCAAACGACAACCCATGACTTGGAGAACGAGATATAAGGGCAACAGTCACGACGAGATGGCCAAGCAGTGACAGTCAGCTCATACGAAGGTCGGAGCAAATACGCATTATCTTCAGATTCAATATCCTCCCAAGATTTACCCAAACCAAGTGGGTTTTACAGTAGAAGCCTAAAAGTTGGAAGCCCAATCTCAATCCTTAAGGGTCATGTACAGGGAATCCCAGCACTATTTGTCCTTAAATCCCGTTTCCAACTTTCTGGGGTTTACTATATGTTAGGTTGGGCCTTTTCTCGAGAGACCTTCCTGTCAGTCAGTGCAGGTGAGCGAGTTCCCAAAGGATCGCATGCCTGTCTACCAAGTAGTCTCCAACCTTTCTCCATGTTCCGCTCATCCTGTTTCGATTATGGGATCTGAGCCATACAAGTTTGTTAGCCAAAGCAGGCATCCCTATGGGAGACTACAGGTGCGGACACCTTTATCAAGGCCAAGCAAGGCACGTCTGATTCCGCAGTAAATGATGAGGGTCAGATCTTCCCACTGCTCTGAGAAAAAAGGGGTTGAGAGTTTCAGGTTTTGGGTTTGGGGCTTGTAGGGTTTAGGGTTCAGGGTTTGGGGCATATGCGTAGTCCAGGTGTAAAAAGGGCTTAGGGTTTAGGGTTGAGAAAAAAGATCGGGAACGCATCCAGCGATCGTCGTTATCCTCGGCTGGGCGCTTTATTAAACTTCGGGGGGTGTAGGGTTGGAGGTTTGGGTTGTTGGAGCTTGGGCTTCGCAGGGTTGCAAAGCGTCTTTGTCAGGGAAGGATGGTTTACAAGCTAGCCAGCAGTCAAGAAGCGTAGACAATTACGAACTCTGTTCCGGAGAGTCCCTGACCATGAACATATTGTAAACTATCCCCAGCACCTGGTTCTGATTAGCAACTTTAATCAAGGCAACTACTGAGGCTCGTATATTACCCGTGGAAAGCTCCCAACAACAGTTACGGTTTCCAAGACAGGCCCCAGATTTTGTTGGCACTCCCCAAACATCCAGCCATTTGCGCCAGAGTCGATTTGTGTCTTAGCTTTCGTTCGTAAGGCTCTAGGGTTAAGGCCTTGAGGGCTTAGTGTGGGATTTTAGAGATTGGTTGCGAGGAATAGGAGTTAGGCCTTGTATTTTAAGCTTGAAGTTTTGAGGCCAAAGCCTTTTCTCTGCCCCAAAATCGCTCTCGACCTGCACAGCATCGCGTAGCTCCTTTTAAGCTCGAAAGCACATCGGGTGGTGTACGAAATTTGCCCGTACCTGAGCCCAGAATCAACACTCTTAAACTAGGAGATGGCACAGCTTCACACTCCGAGCTTTAAACTCCAAAACTTCGAAGAATTAGACTATTAGACTATCTTGGACTCTTGGAGTTCCAGAAAATACCGGGCCCCAATATCAATGTTTCTGCTCTTCTCAGCTTGCGACCGACCTCTGTCCCTAGTCTCATGTCCACCGATGTCCCAGCTTGGGAAGCTTGAAATGATGAACAGCACCATTCCTTCGGTTTCGTGTTTTTCAGTTATAGTATACCATACCCCGAAGCCCTACTCTAATTACTTATCATTAGGCCCCTGCAGATTGGGTTTAGGCCCGGTCAGCTCCCCGAAAGCCTTAAAGCCTTGTGACCTGCCGTCCGCTGCATCCCACGGCTCCGCCAGTCGCCGCAAGGATCCCGTGCATGCAGAAATGGTGGGTTTAGGGCCAGCCTTGTCCTTTTTCATGGTTCCCCCGAAAGAATAAGCAGACCGGCTAGTAGACCTTCTTAAATAATTCCTACTAAGGGATAGGTATAGGGCTCTGTCTATTATTTCGAAAAGGACAAAGGTGTTTAGGGCGGTTTAGAGTTCAGGGTTCAGGGAACAAAAGGGGTCGGAAGACGCAGTAACAGTAATAGTATCCCCTTCTGGTCCGTATAATATCGGATGCTACAGTGCGCCGGGAAGCCTTGTTTCAGTTGTTAAGATTGTGCATAAAGGGGTTCCTAACAAGGGGCACATTGGTTTGGGGTATGGGTCACGCAGGGTTTTGTTCATCAACACCCAAAACTCTGAGGTATCGTCAATATATAGGTGCTATCAAGAAATCTGTCAATGCTTTCCTAAAGGATCCCAGGGTAGTTCCTGGAGCCTTTTGTAAATAGCAACGATTTAGGGTTCGGGCACCTGCACAGGATGCGTGCAGGCATAAGTAGGATTCAAGATGGTTGTTGTTTCTGGCCGTTCTGACCTCTACAGCACTCGAGGACTTCAGGGGTGAGGCCGTCGACATGCTTGCAGGTAATATAGAGGCCTTAATGAATACACTATTTTGAGGGTTCCCTCATGTATTGACAGTATAATATACCCCAAGTCCTATTCTAATTTATCAGGCCCGTATAGTACATAAAGTTGGCCAACATGTGTCAAACCCGAAATGCTATGGTTAGGCTCTACAGCATTTTTGGGTTGGCCTGCTGGAAACGATCTGTATCATCACCAGCCGGGGTGAAAACGAGCACAACCCTAGGGAATAATTAGGTCTGGCTTTTCTCAAGCACGAACTCCCACGAAGCCCTTTGAACACCGCCCCACCCCACCCCGTCCGTCGACCAGGCTGTCGGGTTGAGGTTGCGTGGAGGTTGACCTTTGCTTTAGGGTTTAGGGTTTAGGGTTTAGGGCATCACAGAACCATCGCGCGCAGGATGATTATCGAAGTGAGAAACGAGTCTGATCTCTGCTTCCAGCTGGACGGCGAGTGGCTCAAAGCAGGTGACTTCAAAGCCGCCACTCGGAGGATCATTTGCCCCTTGTCTCCCCCCGGATCCTTCCGTCCCACCCTACTTCTGCGCCCTTTGCCAAGGATATCTCTTAATCCTGAGGGGTTCCGAGGATGACGGGAGGGGTCCTAAACTTGTCAGGGGTGCGGCGCCTTATTTCGAGGTCTTTACAGCAGCATATACTCGCTTTGATTCCCGCATGCTTTTCCAGGGCCTGCATTCGGAGCTTCGGGTTTAGTTTCGCGGTGTAGGGGGTTTGGGGGTTTAGGGCTCATATTGCCTGAGAGCACCTTTTGGTTACTTTCCTCCCCCTACACCCCAAACCCTACATTTCAAAACCTACACCTAACCTCCCCCCCCCCCAGCCCTAAACTCCAAAACCTGGAACTTAAAGCCAGACCCTAAACCCCCCCACCACCCACCCACCCGAAAGGAAAAGACCGGCATCCAAGCACAGACGACCACCAGACTGGAGATTGCGCCCTCGACAGCTTCCGGCTCAGAAGATTGTCTCGCAAGAGTTTTGTTTTTTTTAAAGATTGCTACAAAGTTAAGTTCAATTTCCAATACAGCGTTTTGAAACGGGTTCTACCCCGGGCTTCCGAAACTCAGGGCTTGGACTTTAGGGTGTTGTGTAGGGGTTTATATAGGTTTCTACAAGGGTTTATCAAGGCTTCTAAAAGCGCTAGTATAGGGTTGATAATAAGTGTCTATAAGTGTTTAGGGAAGAGGCCTCTAAGGCGAGGATTTCACAAGAGTTCTTTCCATTTGCTTTCTTGAGAGGAGAGGCGGGATTAAGGGTTTCGGGGCTGCGGTCCTAGCGAGTGACGCTTCATGAGTCGACCGCTCAAACACTTGAGGTCGAAGGTGTCTCCGGCGTGGCATGGTGGGTGGATACAACCGGGCACAATGTGTACATCTCCATGGCGATGACCAGGCGCTGGGAGTTCGGGATCCCAACCCTCTTAATGCCTCGCCCTCAACCCGGACCCAACCCCCACCAACTCTGCCCAAACGCATCCCTGAGCTCAGACATCGGAGCATCGAACAACCTCTGCTGCCCAAGCCATGCACGAGCTTCGAAGCCGGACTAAGCTCGTACCCTTATATACAAACCCTGCCCCGTAACCTTCAACCCCCCATCAAATTCGCAGCAAGCTCTGCCTCCTCCAAACAAGCCTGGAACACAACTGGATCACCGCTACGAGCCACGCGCAAGAACTTCAAACCCTGTTCAACACCATGTAAAGACCCGCAAGCGCTAAACCGCCTACACTTAAACAGCAACGCAACGCAATATAAGCACAATCGCATATACAAACGTTTATATTAAAGTTGACAAACATCTGGATAATTAGTCATATATATATATACACAAGAGCATAAACTTAAACCATATGTATATATATATATATATATATACATACATGTGTGTGTATGTATGTATGTATCTATGTATGTATGTACGTTATATATTTAGTCGTGCGTTCACGTAATTCTTCAGTACATATACACACGAACAAACCCTTTTGATTCAAAGCTTTAAAAAAGTACCAGCAACGCAAGATCTCACGACACTTTCCTGTCGCGCTCTGTCGGCTACGAACTCGAAGAATCCCAATCCCGAGAGATCTAAACCAATAAACCCTAAACCGAAGAATCCCAAGAGTCTGTTGCAGGCCGCGTCTTGGCAGGTCCTTCTTTGCCTGCCACGCCGGAGCCGGGGCACTTACTGAAAGCTCGTAAGGCTCCGATGGTTAGCGGTTAGGGTATTTTTGAGACCTCCCTCA